TCGTGCAAGTCAAACGTGGGTTTTGAATTGTTTTTCTCACAATCCTGTGAGCTGTTCTGTCTGATATTTTTCTTGGTCTTCCAGATCTGGCTTCTTAACTATCCACTGTTCCTGATGACTGCCATTTCTTAATTACATTCCGAACAGAGAATATTAACATCTGAAAACGCTTTTCTATCTTCTTATAGCCTTCTCAGACAGCTTTGTGAGAGTCAACTATTTTCAGTTTCAGTTTTCTAGACAACTGCTTAGAAGAACCCATGGTGCTGATTGTTGGGGCAAGGTCTCAGATGAGTCCTGGGCATTTAAAAACCTTTGAGATTGAAGTCACTCTGGTCTTCCCTGATGATGATTGAGAACAATCCATGACACTGGCAGGTCTCAGCTTGGCAAAGGACAGGCAGTGCATGCTATAAATTCTGCAGGGTGCCCAAACTTTTGCAGACGCCATTTTTTTGTTTTCTGCTATTTTGAAAGTGTAAATGATGGAAAAAAATCCAACTTTTGTTGACATATTATAAGAATGTCTAATCTGTAATTTGATGCCTCTTTGGAGATTTTTCCATCTTTCTTGCTCCTTTTGTGATTATATTTTATGCACACACATAATCACAATTTTTTTTTAGCTGGGGTGCCCAAACTTTCAATCCCCACTGTATATATATATATTACTTTCTCTCTCTCTCTTCAAATATAAAAACAATGGCAGAAGTATTGTTTTTACAGCGATTTTGCTGCAAACACTCCTATGAAGCTCTGTGTAGCAAGATCAAAAACTACAGAAAGCTGTGTTTTCAGCTCCTCAGCTTAGCCATCAGTGACAGCCAATGGTTCCAGTCAACATGCTGGCAAAGAAGCACAGGAGCAACTACAATGGCACTGAGCCACTGAGGCAATGAAATGAATTGTCAATGTCCTTGCTTGCTCTCCAGGACGTGGTTAAGAAGAGACTAAAATGAGAACATTTACATATTACGTATTTACTAAGCTAAAGGGAATGTCTGTTTTGCAAAGTGAAACAGCCTCTAAAACCCCTTTTAGTAATCAACTCCATTCTGAGCTTGTGCCTCATGATTTGCAAGAGAGGGACAAAGGAAAAGCATAATTAACAGATTTTTACATTCATAATCTTTGTCTTCCTTTATGTCCCGCTCTCCAAATTTTATTCACAGGTCTTCTTACTTACCCCTTTAATAATATAACTCTTAATGCCCATAGCACTTATAAGGCAGGCTTCATATTGTGTCAGGGAGAATGTCTGATTAAAATGAGTCAGCTTCTGTCCTTACATGCATAGTATATTTTTAGGAGTACACCTTTAACACATTTAAAATAAAATATTGAAATATTAGCCTATCACTGTAAAATATTTTTTTCTTAACAGAAAATGCATATTTTGTAAGGAGAAAAGCAGAATGATTATTGAGAGAACATATAGCACATGCTCACTTCTATTTACTTTAAATATTGATAGCATATCAATATTTAATACCATATCATGAGTTAGGCACCTTCATCTATTGATATTTTGCTGTCCTAATAACAAAATTCATGTTATTTTCTAATTATTGGTTGGCATTTTTACTCTCTAATTGCAGGTTTATGACTTCCAGTCCTCCAAGTGAATACAACTTTCAAAGGTTTACTAGAGAGCACAATTGCTTCATATTTCAGCTCAGTTCAATTTAAAGCTGTATGGGCTCTCAAAATAACATGGGACAATGTTCCTCCATTCACATCTGCAATTTATAACTCAAAGGCTTATTGGAACACCCAAGCCAACAATGTAAGTGTTGTACTTTGCTAGTGCTTACCCATACTGTTAATGGTAGAATTCCTGTGTATAGAAGGATCTCAGTGTGTGTGGATGGATCTCAGCTCATTGCATCCTTGCTATTATGATATTATTTTGTAAAGCAAAAATGGCCTTTTTAAAATCTTACCTAAAAAGGGTAATTATTAGGTGTTATTGTCAGTGGGCACCCAAATATGAAATCTAGTAGTATAAGGGTATTTAATTAACAAATATTGTACAAATTCAAAGTATAATTTGCTATTAAAAGCGACAAACATACTCTTTTCTTATTGTTTTTTTTAAAAAATGTTTTTTTCTAACTAGTACAATACAAAAAGCAGTCCATTGTTTATTATTATTATTATTATTATTATACAACACAGAGGGTATTTGAGGAGAGTTACTTGACGTGACTTGAACACATGTGCAATGCATCTGAAATGCATATACTATATACAAAATTAGTGCATGTTAAAGGCTCAACACCTCTGTGAACTTAGGCTTAATATATTGCGTGGCCTCATCATTCTGCTTTGTGTGACCCTTAAAAAATGTTTTCTTTAAACCCAACTGCAACTTTACAAACAATTTTTCAACAAAGTACCAAGTCCCTGGTTGTCTCTAGCCACCAGTCAAACGTTTGCGTACCCCCGCTGTCAGCATTAAAGAACATGAAAGAAAACATTTTCTTTTTAGGGCTGGTTCACACCATGAATCACTCGGTTTACAAACGCCTCGGTTAATGTAATTTTCGGTTTACAAATGAAAATCCATTGAAAATAATGCCTTGGTTTATGATTTTTTTTTTACGAATTTACAAAATACGAAGTGTATGTTGGTGCCAATTTTTAAATGCAATTTCCAGCTTTTTTTATTCTTCACTATAGCTCACAGAACTGTCAATTTCCCTGGAGTTAAAGGAAGCTTTGTTTCTTTTAAGAAACTAAAAGGAAACATTGTTTCTTTTAACTTTTAGCTGGGGGGAAAGTGACAGCTGAATCTCTGAGCTATAGTAAAGAAAAAAAAAAGTGGGAATTACATTTAAAAACTGACACCATAATAAATAATAAAACGGTGTGGGGTTCCCCCTCCCATCCATACCAAGCCCTTCAGGTCTGGTATGGATTTTGAGGGAAACTCCCACGCCAAAATTTAAAAAAAAAATGGCGTGAGGGTCTCCCCCAAAATCCATACCATATCAATGATGTCACATGGGGTGGGGTCACTCGGGCCCTGCCCCTTACCTATTTAAGAACTGTAAAACCACCGGAGCAGGCAGACGGCTGGCAGCCATCATCGGAAGCGGAGCCTTTTTGTTTTTATTCTATTTTTTGGGTCGGTGGCGGGTATCATGATTTACGTTGGATCTACTGCAGAGGACATTCTTTTAGTTTTTTCTTTTAATAAAGGACTTGTCAAAGACCATGTTCTATCTTTTTCTCACACTACACTTTTTGTTTTTTGTGAATGAGTATCAGGACCATGTACCCCATACTCATTCACATAGGGGGGGGGCCAGGATCTGGGGGCCCCCCTGCCCGCAGACCCCCACAACCACCAGCTAAAGCACCCCCCCATGTTGAGGGCATGTGGACTGGTATGGTTCAGGAGGGGGGTTGCTCGCTCATCCCCCCCCCCTTTCCTGACCTGCCGGACTTCATGCTTGGATAAGGGTCTGGTATGGATTGTGGGGGGGACCCCCACGCCATTTTGTTTTTTTATTTTGGCATGTGAGTTCCCCTCAAAATCCATACCAGACCCAAAGGGCTTGGTATAGATGGAAGGGGGGAACCCACGCCATTTATTTATTTATTTTTTTAATTGCCTGCAATTCTTTTACATTCAGCTGTCGGTGGGGTACCCCCGCTGACAGCTGAAACATGAACACATGGTTGTCACTACTAGAATACTGCATGACTTGATAACATAACTCATGCAGTATTTTAGTAGTGTTTACTTTTTTCTGACCTCAGGAACAGATGAATTGGTTTTCAATGCATTCCTATGGGAAACGGCATTTTGGTTTACAAATTTTTCGCTATACGAAAAAGTCCCGCAGAACGAATTAAATTTGTAAACCTGTATTGTATGCCTGTATTTTAAACACGGTGTGGGAAACATGCACAGAATGTAGGTTCCCATTTTGGTGTGAACTGATCTTCAGCACACAATAGTGAATTCAAGCACTACTTTATGAATTGACATACCTCTTTTAGACCTTGGTTCATCCAACTTTTATGGCCTCCTCAGACAGCTCAACTCTCCAATAAGTTATGGCATAGTTTTTCTTCTTAAATGCAGTACATGGGATGTTCGCTGATTATTTGAAGAGTCAAGAGACAAAAATCTTCTCTAGCTGTCAGTCTTCATAGCAAGCATAAGGTAAACAGCTTATGGAAAAGTAAGGAGTGGTCTATCTAAAGATTAAACTAACTAGCCTCAACATACAGGGAAGCTAGATGTCCATGATCCATGTTACAGTATATCATCTTGAAGAGGTGCAAGGAGTGAGCAATTCCCATATGAAGGGCTTCACAGTCAAAATTCCATAAACTTTAGATAGGATCTTTTGATCCACTGTTGGACTTATAACTAATATTGTCTGAACCACATCACAAGATTATAAATTAATTAGTGTCTGGTTTTCATACTTGTATGGGGATTTGCTCGCATTCCAACAATTTTCAAATGTATAGGTGCATACGCATGCTTGTATACACTCTTGCCCCTCTTCCTCCCCTCCTTGTGATCTGGTGGGCTCTCCTCCCAGGGGGAGGGTTGGTGGAGGGTCACAGACACTTGAACAATCATTAAGCCTATCAGCAACAAAATTTACTGTATTCACAGAACCTGCAGATGTGGGGTCATTATCTCAAGAAATGTGTTGTGCATCTGCCCTAATTCTTCCTCCCCCCTATTTGATCAGTATAAAAGACAAGTGGATGTGTTCTCTATGCAGATTGCTAATAATGAATGTAGAATTATGGAAGGGTGAGGGTAATTAGGGCAGACTGTGAAGCCATAATTATTGTGTTTTTTAAGGAACAATAGATCAATTTCTATAACAATGATGGTAAAAAAATTACCGGTGCTAAAATTGTTATATATATATATACACTATATTACCAAAAGCATTGGCACACCCCTCCAAGTCACTGAATTCATGTGTTCCTATCACCTCCAGGGCCACATAAAATCAAGCACTTAGGCATGCAGACTGCTTCTACAAACATTTTGTGAAAGAATGGATTGCTCTCAGGAGCTCAGTGAATTCAAACGTGTTACCGTGATAGGTTGCCACCTGTGCAATAAGTCCATCCGTGAAATTTCCTTGCTACCAAATATTCCATGGTCAACTGTTTGTGGTATTATAAATGGAAACAAAAGCAACTCATGTAGACCACATAAAATTACAGTGCACAGAAGTCGTCAACAGTCTGCAGAGTCAATGGCTAAAGACCTCCAAACTGTGTATGGCCTTCAGATTAGCACAACAGTGTGTAGAGAGCTTTATGGAATTGATGTCCATGGCTGAGCAGCTGCATCCAAGCCTTACATCACCAAATGTAATGCAAAGCATTGGATACAGTGGTGAAAGCACACCGCCACTGGACTCTAGAGCAGTGGAGACGTGTTCTCTGGAGTGACGAATCACACTTCTTTGTCTGGCAATCCAATGGATTTGTCTGAGTTTGGCGGTTGCCAGAAGAATGGTACTTGCCTGACTGCATTGTGCCAAGTGTAAAGTTTGGTGGAGGGGGGATTATGGTGTGGGGCTGTTTTTCAGGGGTGGGCTTGGCCCCTTAGTTCCAGTGAAGAGAACTCTTAAGGCATCAGCATACCAAGACATTTTGGACAATTTCATGCTCCCAGCTTTGTGGGAAGAGTTTGGGGATGGCCCCGTCCTATTTCAACATGACTGAGCACTAGTGCACAAAGTAAGGTTTATAAAGACATGGATGAGCGAGTTTGGGGTGGAGGAACTTGGCTGGCCTGCACAGAGTCCTGGCCTCAACCCAAAAGAACACCTTTGGGATAAATTAGAGTGGAGACTGCGAAACAGGCCTTCTCGTCCAACATCAGTGCCTGACCTCACAAATATACTTCTGGAAGAATGGTCAAACATCCCCATAGACACTCTCCTAAACCCACAGGATGGGCCAACTCAATATTGAACCCTATGGACTAAGACTGGGATGCCATTACAGTTCATGTGCGTGTAAAGGCAGTTGTCCGCATTTTATTTTTTTTATATAATATGTTTATATATATAATAAATATATATTATATTTGGCATTATAATTTTATATGGGTACCTCTAAAGTCCCATCAATGTTTTTGCATTATTTGCGGTAACAACAGTGATGTTGGCACTTGCTTGCCTGGTCCCAGCAGCTTTGATAGTAAGCTTACTGAGGGAGCATGAGGAAGAAGGAAGGGGTCTCTTTTAGAACTAAATTAACTATCCCAACATATGGGTAAGCTGGATAATACCATTAACAAACATACATAATGAAATCCAGTGCTACAGTAAAGGATACACAATAAGTGTAATTTTTCCTATTGGTTTTCTTCATTTTAGACAAACACTTTCCAAGTTGTCTTGGCTACAGATGGAATCTATTCTTTTGCACTAATCCTGTTTGATGATGGAGGAATGAAGTGGAACTTTAACTCTCTCTCCACATTCCATCTGCCAAAAATGGGTTATTACAGGTAAAGACTTTCAGTGGTTTACCCTTCATTTCCTCTTCTTTCAGTCCATTGCACCTTCCACAGTAGTACTGGTAACTTCATGTAAATATTCTTTCATTCCAGTGGTATCCCTAGTGCACGTAACATCAACAACTTCCCAGCTTTCAATGATCCACAGACAGACACATCTGTAAGCATCAAGCAGAGATACCGTCCAGATCAGTACATTGGCTACAATACGGGTGAGAATTGAAAAACATCGGTGAGGTAAATGTTGTAAGTTTAACAGCTACAGTGTTTATTTATATAATTTTGCCTTACTTTTCAAGGTAAAAAAGGAAGATGGGCATATCGCCTAGACAGTAACAGCCAGAGCACCATCAATTCAAGGCTTCAATGTCTGAACTGGTATTATAAAGAGGAAATTCCATACTGGCGCTCCAGTACATCACCATGTCCCTGTACCTACAATCAGGCAACTTGGGACTCGTCTTTTACTGATGGACTTAACATTTGGTATTTTGGCTTTGATATCAAGAAGGCATCTGGTAAGGTTTAATACTCGACTTTCGATTGGAACACTGCTTAAATCAGTGGAAAATAATGCAATGTTTTACCCCCAAACAAACTCTAGCATGTGTGTCTCATATTAACCCCTTCATGATGAATGTAAGACAAATCTTAACGCCTGAACACAGTTTTGCAACGGCTTAGTTTTTATTTTTCACGACAAATTGGGCTTTCATTTGGTTGTAAATGGTAATGGATATCTCCTGATTTTTTTAGTTATTAAAAGAAAACTGCCACAAAAGAGTAAACAAATATATTTTTTTTAAATGTAGCTTTAGCTGTATGTTTCTTGCTATTACCATAACATGCCACCAAAGAACAATCCAAAATAAATTCACACACATACACACACATATGTTATGTGTCATTTGTACCTGTAATAGCGGCCAGAAACACTGACGCTAACTGATAGTGATATTAAATGAAAACATGTTTTTTATCCTACCTGGAATACACTGACCCCGATCTTTAACACTGATCTTTGAATCTTACCATGACCTTTGACTCCAACTTTAGCCCTAACCCTGACCTAAATCAAACCCTGATCTTTCTTTCTTTCTTTCTGACTGATCACTAATATCCAATCAGAGGCTCTCACTGTGATCAGGTGTTCAAGAGTCTGGTCTCTGTGCTGGGAATCCACTGTGCAGTGTGCTCCAAACACAAACGCAGGTACACATATATGCGGCCCCACAGAATTAAGACCCACTTCTGTGAGGCCACAAATCTATGCATACACTTGTCAGGAAGTGGTTAAAATGACATGACACGGTTATGACTACTATTTGTAACAAATAAGACTGTCTACTATTTGTTCTAGTTTTCCATAACTAACCAGTACAAGATTCAACATTTACTGCTGAAACTTTAAAATCAAGCTTTATAAAGATTGTCACACAGAAAAGGAAAAAACACAAGGCACAGAGCATTACAGGAACTTTAATATCCCATAGCAGTAAGTATATCTTAAAGTGTTACTAAACCCAGGACCCTGCCTTCACTATATATGGTCTCCTACAGTACACAGATCATGGAAACTCAATTATTTTAGTAAATATAAACTGCTAAATACCTTTTCTCATCAGCAGTTAGAGCAGTCTTGTGACTTCTATCAGTGTCTAGCCGAGCACTGGTTAAAGCTTGTAGGAGTCTTCTTTCTGCTCTAGGAGGATGCAGAACCCCTGACCTCTGTCTTGACAGTGCTGATTGGCCCTGTGCTAATCACATGCACTCTGCCAAGAAATAAAAAAAAACCTCTCTAGCAATACACACCAAACAGAGCAGAGAGTCTCCACACCATATGTTTTATCAGGAGATAAGAGGGGGATGATGGAATAAGGGGAGGATCAGAGAGATCAGGATCAAACAGCCTTTTTACACAATACAGAGGATTAACCCCTTGGGTTCCACATGAGTATAACAAGCATGATTTACTGCATATGCAGACTGATTTTGCTGTTGTGGGTTTAGTAACACTTTAACACCAAATAACAAGTTTTTTTACACATCCAGCAGAAGCTAGATACAGTTGCACTTGTTTGATGGAGACAACTGGTTTATCAAACCCAGACCTCTACCTATTGAAAGATATAGGATGGATCAATGCACATGAGACTGTAAAGAACATTTAGGTTTTAGGAGGACCTCTTTGTGCCTAGTAGTTTGTAATTTGCTGGAGTCACTCTGTACCAAGTATACAGTTGTGCCATAAATACGTATTCATTATTATACTTAATCACTGCTGTCTATATAACTTGCTTAAAGAATACTAGTAATTTATTTGCTATCCAGTAAAATCTTTCTAATAGCATATTTATGCACCTGCTAATGAGGATATTCTTAAGGCGTAAATGGAACCAATTTAATATAATTGTATCCATTTGTCTGTTTCAGAAGAGTACTTAACAGTACAAAATGTGTTCCCCTCCAGAGAAGGGGCTGGAAGTAGATGTTACTATAGTAGCTGGAGTGGAGCCCTTGTTTATGGTGAGAAGGAGCGATACCTTCCAACGCCATGGACCTCCTTTAACATCTTTAGATCTCGCTATAACCAAAAAGCCTATCGTGACTACTTCTGGAATACAGTTCTTCCTCCTCAAAGAAAACTATATGAAGGTACTGAATGATACGATCATAATAATGAAACAATATTCCATAGTTAATTTAATATTTGTTCAAATCAACACTGCATCTTTATTTTTCAGTTGGGGAGATTGACCCCTACAACGCTTGTTGCAGATATTCAGAATCCATTTACCTGTGTAACCTTTACAGACAGAAGAGACCTCTGGATTATTGTGACAACTATGTCCCTCCACGCCTTGGTATGTAGAAGAACTCATTTCTTAAAGTTCTAATGCCCATATCATAAACACAAAGAAAAAAAAGCAAATCCTTGTACTATAGACTCTCTCTATCAGATACAAACTCACCTCAAAAAAAAAAAAAAAAGAGAAGTGGTACATAAATGAGTACACTGCTGCCATCTAATTTTATGAAAAGATACAAAATCCTTTATTTTTATATAACTAGTAGGGGTCTAAAAACATTTTTTACCACCAAAGTACCTCCACACTTTCTAGATACCCAAGAACCAATACCAAAGACAACACCATAATGTATAACATAAATATAAAAACAGATCTATAACCTAGATAATCAGTATATAATTTCATAAACAGATAATAATGCAAAACACAACCAATATTTTCTCTGCAACGTATAACTGTACTTTTTATATGGGTGTATTCTAATCCAAACCAGGATCAATTAAAAAGGCTCTTTTTTGGTGGTTCCAAGTAAACTTAATGGTTTCTTCGGAGGTGTATTAAACATGCTTAGTCTGGAAATTCACCTTTATTTGAAAACATTCAGACAATCTGTGATATAGAGATGGTCTCCATCTTTAATTGAATTATCTTATCTTTCTTATTTCATGGATACAAAACATGAAATCCACCAACATAAGAATAATTACAGTATATGTAAATCAGTTACCATATAGCTTGTTTAAACCCCAATGAAAAAGGCATTGATTAATCTTTCCTATTGCAAAAATCCATATTCTGAAATTCCATAGCATATGGATCGGTTACAAGTGGATCAGTCACCATATGTCATGCTTTAATTATGGGATATTGCAACAGTCATGTGTTTGTTCAATGACCAGTTCTTTTACTTTCATTAGACCCATGTAACAGTGTCCTCAGCTGTTTGAATACCCAAACAGTGACTGTAAATCGATTTTTGTTAAGTCAGGTGATGCCAACTGGGCCACCCATGGCTCAAATTTCAGTCAATTTTGCAGAAAACTGACAAAATTTGAGCCATGTATGACTAGCATATGTCTGTTTCTTGGTGTATGTCCCCAGCCGCCAACAACTTGTTTCCAGCCGCCAACGTCTTTAGCATGTTTACAATCTCTCACCATCTCCTCTTGCATGTCTGCAGTCTCTGAGAGATTTTAGTAGTATTACATTC